TGCCCTCCCGGCCCAAGCCGCTCTCCTTCACGCCACCGAAGGGGGCCTCAGCGGCGCTGATGAGGCCGGTGTTGACGCCCAGCATACCGCACTCCAGACGCCTGGCAACACGCATCACGCGGGAGATGTCTTTACTGAAGAAGTATCCGGCAAGACCGTATTCCGTTGCGTTGGCCAGCTCGACAGCCTCAGCTTCCGTCTTGAAAGAGAAGATGGCTGCCAGGGGGCCGAAAGTCTCGTCGTGTGCAACTTCCATTTCGGTCGTGACGTTGCTGATGACGGTGGGTTCGTAGAAGTAGCCCTTCAGTCCCTCGGGAGCCTTGCCACCCGTGTGAAGCTTGGCACCCTTCTTGAGAGCATCCTGAACGTGAGCATCGACCTTCTTGACGGCAGCGGCGTTCACTAGAGGACCTTGCGTGGTGCCGTCGTCGATGCCGCGGCCGAGCTTGAATTGCTGTACTCTGGCAACGAGCTTGTTGATGAACTCCTCTTGAACCTTCTCATGGACAAGCAGTCTGTTGGCGCACTATGCCAGTCAATTAGCATTGGATTGTCATGCGAGGATGGACTACTCAGAACGTCTTACCACGCAAGTCTGGCCCGAGCAACGGAACTTGCAGATCAAAGCACCCTCGACGGCTTGATCAATGTCCGCATCGTCGAAGACGATAAAGGGGGCATTGCCTCCCAACTCCATGCTCACACGCTTCATAGTTCCCGCAGCAGCCTTGGTAAGCATCTTCCCAACTCCGGTAGAGCCGGTAAAGCTGAGTTTCTTCACAAATGGGTTGTTTGCGAGCTCCATCGAAGCCTCTCGGTCCTTAGTCGGCACCACGTGGAGGCAGTCCGCCGGGATGCCAGCGGCCAATGCCAGCTTAGCAAGCGCCAGGGCGCTGAAGGGCGTCTCACTTGGCGGCTTGATAATCACGGAGCATCCTGCTGCAAATGCAGGTGCAATCTTCCTGGTGATCATAGCGGCGGGGAAGTTCCACGGGGTGATGATGCCACAGACGCCGACGGGTTCCTTGAATGTCAGAACCGTAGTGTTGGCGTAGGAAGAAGGGATGGTATCGCCGTAGGAGCGAGTCGCCTCCTCAGCGAACCAGGAGATGAAAGACGCGGCGTAGACAACCTCGCCTCTAGCCTCGGCAAAGGTCTTTCCGTTCTCAAGAGACAGGATCAAGGCCACTGGAGAAAAGTCAGTCTCGTTCAACAGGCAGTAGCGAAGAAAACATCAAGAAGCACCCACAATCATCGGCATTAGCCATCACAAGATCATACCATTTTCGCAGAAGGGCACCGCGCTCCTTTGCCGTCGTTGACTCGTAGAACTTCGCCGTTCCCGTCTTGGCGCTCTCAATGGCATCAACAAAGTCTTGTCTGCCAAGGTTGGCGATCTCTTGAAGCACTGTCGCGCTAGACGGCTCGTAGACCGGGAAAGTCTTTCCATCCTGACCGTTCTTCCAGTCACCAGCCACGAGACCAGATGAGATCAAGAGGGACTTGTCCTGAAGCTTAGCGAAGACGTCGGCCATCTTGTTGAGTTGTTGTGGGGCTGTTTGGCTATTGGATGTGGGGTATCAAGATGCGATGCAAGCAGGCTCAGCCAAGTGTTCAAGTCTAAGGGTTACGATGTGCGAAGACTGCTCTCTTAAATATTACTTCCAGACTCTCCGTATTCTCCTGCATTTTTTTACAAAGTTACTGCGTTACGTTCAATTTCGCATCACCCGATTCTTGCAGGGACCTCAGCCGAGGCCCGGGGAAATGCGGGGGCTAAGATCACCGGCAGCCGGGTGGCCCGGATCGTGAAACTGCTTGCCCGATTTGACATCTAAGCGAACGTAATAAGTAGGGTGACAACCCGCTCAAAAAGGTAGAAAATCAGGACACATTTGATTCTCTTTGAACATCCCACGGACCGACCCGATCTCTAGGAAAGGTTTAGAACCTGATTGGCCCCAACCGGGATCCATAGGAATTTCGACCTCAGCCAATATAGAGATCTGAACAACGATTGGTGAGTGTAACCACATTGTGCATGGCTTCCGCGACGAGATGCGGGAATTTTCACGACATTTCCCGGCCCGGCCTGCCATGATCACCCGGGCCGGTGTACAAAGTGGAGTTGCCGGACCGGACCCACCCGGCAGTCGGCCGGTGACTTTCCTGCTAGCCATCGGGCATTGAACCGAGGTTCCGCTGGGCCGCAGCTGAAGCGCTGACACCCAATGTGAACAGAAGTAAGGTTGGAAGCCCATCGAGATGACGTGACTGGACGCCTCTTATAGTTGCGACCTTAGTTGGACGGTTCACTCAAGACATCTCGGCAGCGCCCGAAGAACTGATAGTTACCTGATCACTAGGTGTGTGAGGCAACGAATGTCCAGGCTAATGCTGGAACTAGTTCACGCGGATTCTCTTCTATAAGCCACCCCCAGGAAGATAACTCCTGCCGAACGAGTTTCTAATACCGTCGAATCTCCACATGCATGTAGTTTTCGACCCCTTTCTTTTTTGTTTTCTTTTTTTTTTTTTTTGTGCTGTGGAACCTCGGAGCGTCCATGAGACCGCAGACAATTTCCACCAGATCTTGAGCTTCGGGGCCATCAAAGGTGGTAATTATTTGACCAGGGCATAGAGACAAAGCTAGAAGTCCTTTATGACCCCGTCGCTCTGCAAGGCCTAGGACCATCAGGACATTTGCTGTCGCGGACGGAGAAAATGCGGAGGTGGTCGAGATGAAACTGGGCTTCAAAGTCTTCGTCAGTCAGGACATACAGAAACGCCATGATCTCGGTATTTGGGACGGCAATATGCTGAAGTCGTCTCATCAGTTGAGGTCATCGACAGCTTTGTGAAGTCGGCGAATGAGACAAAATTCAGCGCAAGGACTGTCACTGTGATAATGGGAAGCACAACCCGCAGCTAAGTAGATTACTGACCCTACACAGAACGTAACGTCCAATGATCAACGGGAGCACAGCTTAGTGCTTCTCGGATGAGCGGATTTGATTGTGCTATAGAGGTAAAGTACGGCGAATTCAGATTTTTGGTATGCCTGGTTTTGTGCACCTGGTCACATAGTTCACAATTGCTCACTCGCACAACTTCCCTTCGCTGCAAATCAACCTTATAGGGGTGAGGCTGCCATCATCTCATGTTTGTCTGTGCTAGTGCGTCAAAGTTGCAACAGGCTTTATGGACAAGATCGTTACACGTGCCAAATGCATAGTACAAACGCAATTAGAATTATCGCATTTACGAAGACCGATGATTTCGGAACTGTTATGTTCCACAAAGTTGGCCTGTGAGCAAACCAGGACGCAAGATCAATAATTGCTATCTAAGCCATGGCTTTCGCGAACAAGCTACAGCCCAAAGCTCTGTGGTACGCAAAGTAGGCCCGGCTCTTTCGTAGAGCTGTAGCGAGTTATTACCAAACATCAATACCTCATGCTGTAGCTGACTCGGGATCCTAAGCGGACTTGCGGAAAGTCAGCGGACACACGGACGGACACCGGTAATTTTGTAAAACCCCGCAGAATACGGGCATTAGAGGCTCCTGCAATGGCTCCGCTTGAGACAGTGCATGATTGATCATCTGGCTTCGCTCTAAACGTCTGAGAATGGAGTTTACGTGCACATATTAACAGGTACACCGCAGTTTCGTTGTCCTGGCTTTTGGGAAATATGTGCAAGTGGACTTGGTCTGCGTCTTCGCCACTCTTTACCCGACACGGAATACTTCAGTCCAACTGTGTTTGGCTCATTGAAATGTTGGGAAGAGCCGCGCAGTTCAGACAACCTCACGCCATTGTTACCGAAAATTTCCAGATACGCTCAGCATCGTGGGCAGCCATCTTCACGACTCACGAGTCCCCTCGCATTGGTTAGCTCAGAACGGTGCGTCGTCTTGGGTGGCTGTGTTCGCAATCCAGGCAAACTTTAGGTAGCTACGCAACGTGAACGTAGTATGAGACGCGGTCCGCAAAAAGGACACGAAAATTAATCCAACTGGGGCAATAGTATCGTTGTATTCAGAAGTTACAAATCTACCATGTTCGTCACTCCATATTAACCGTGACACCAGCAATCGCAGCTACCCTCAGGGGTAGCCATGGAGATGGAATTAGCTGTTTGACACTGCATTTTGTTAGCGAAGGCAATGAGAACCACTCTTGGTCACATACTGTTCCTTCGCAACGACTACTGCAAGCCGCTCTATCAGCTTCGCTACAGTTGCTTTCCCACTGATCGAATGTTAGTATAGCGTCTTCTGGGGGGCTCTCCTGCTTTCTCACTTCACCTGGATGGGACTTGAAGCAATGAACGTCTCTAATGGCTGCAGCTGCCGTTGAGATGTGGATCGCAGCAACGATCCAAGCGAGACTGCCGAACTTCATGTTGAAGGTGTGAATGATCGTCGAAAGGTTGTGTGAAGGAAAGAGAGATCATTCCAATAATGAATGGGATGCTAGCGGCTTTAAAGGATGAAGTCGTTACGCGGACTGCTCGATTAGTTCGCTAACATCATGACTCGCTTGGGACATTCATCGCCATTGACAATCTATTTCAGGAAGGAGTTACGCGGCTGTCCCACACTTACGGTCCAGGCACATACGGCTCTTTACAATAACCCTGGGAAATTAGTCTTGGCAGGTTCGTCTCAACGTTAAAGTCATTGTTTCACGAGTCGAATTTCATCTATACGCAGTCATTAAGGAAACTCTATTCTCTGTCCTATGGTTATCGGATTTGCTCCACAGTTCCATGGCCATTTGCTTAGTCTTGGCTGCATCGTTTTCGTGCACTGGACCCAGGTGAAATGGGCACTGAACCTGCTGTCCTTCTGTGAAATCCACACTAACATCCCTTCGTCGCCTTCCCCCGGACTTAGTACACTCATTTCTGAAAGGTAGGCACTTTGCGACTTACCCTGCCGTACCATTCAATCGCTGAAGGTATCGCCACGTAATGCGGCTTTATCCCAAGAAACTTCAAGGATGGAATGTGAAGCCTTTTGTAATACCCAACACCAGCGTTGACTTGATATCTTGTGGGGAGGAGCTTGTCGAGACATGCACCTCATGCTCACCCGCCTCTACTTCCCACAGTTTCCTAGCCTCGGACCAGAACGCAGCGCCATCTTGTTTGAAAGTCAATTGAATATCTTTCTGTGCACCAGGATTCAAATGGATCTTCTCGAACGCGACAAGAGCCTTCGGCGGCCTCTCGACTCCGGTCCGTGATTTCGGGGGCGTCACGTAGACTTGCACTACCTCAGACCCTGCGACGTCGCTGGTGTTATGTACTGTGACAGCGACAGTAATCTTGGCATTCTCGTCGTTTGCGTCAAGGGTGCCCGATAAGGCGCAGGCCGAGTGCTCAAATGTAGAGTAGCTCAGGCCATAACCGAATGGGAACAGGACTTCTTGCTCTGTGCCATACTGAGAATCGAAGTGCCTGTAGCCAACGTTGACACCCTCGACGTACTCCACCTCTCTGCTGTCCCAGCTGTCGAGTCCAAAGTGGCCGTAGCACGCTGTGTGTTCATTCTTTTTGGGCCAAGACATGGGAAGTCTGCCGCTCGGATTGACTTCGCCAAGAAGCACATCAAGGATTGAGTTTCCAGTTTCCTGCCCACCATACCAAGCCTGGACGACAGATGCGACGTTTTCAAGCCATGGCAGCTCTACTGGGACTCCCGTGGTAATAACCACAATGGTGTTGGGGTTGACTTTGGCGACCTCAGCGATCAGCTTGTCTTGGGAGCCATCAGCTGGGAGGGTCATAGTGGCCATGTCCTGGCCTTCGGTTTCCCATTGTGGAGTGTTTCCGACAAAGATGAGGGCAACATCAGCGTCTTTTGCGAAGCTCACCGCTTCAGACAGTACATCGGCTTCCATCTCCTGTTGACTGACGAATCCAAGATGTACCGCGATCTGATCATCCGCAAGATACAGCTCTGCGTTCGGAACTGGCGAAATTGTTGATTCAATGACAATGTCGTAAGTCTTTCCTGTAACGAAATCATACTGAAGATGCCGCTCCTCCTGTACGCCTAGAAGGAAAGACATTGCCTCTGCTGTTTCTTTGATCTCGCCTTGAAACTCGCCATTGATGAAAAGTCGGGCAGGACCCATACCCGAGAAGCTGAGGTAGTGCTTTCCGCTTACGTTCGGGCTGTATGCGGTGCTAAGTCTCGCGGACTTTGCAGTGACAACATTTTCATTCATGAGAGTCATGAAGCTTCCTCTAGGGTACTCCTCGGTATAAAACGGCTCTCCAGTGAGATCCAGGTTTTCATAGAAGTCCGCAGCGAAGCCAGGATTGCCCAATCGGTTTCGTGTTACGGCAACAAAATCAGGGTATGCACGAAAGACGTGGGCTCCTACAGCAGAAATGTTGATTAGCACTGTTCCGAGCTTGAGCGTCAAATGAGCAACATACCCTTCGAGTATGACAGTTTACTATCAGGGAGGCGTGACTTGATAGCATCAAAAGGGCTGATCTTGTAATGACAGTTCAATGATGCACTACCGCCTCCGTGGGCAGCTGCATGTTTTGCAAGAGGCCCAAGCACGGCGATGTTTTGGAGATGAGATGGCTTAAGAGGGAGAGCGCCGTCAGAGTTCTTCAGCAGAACCACGCCTTCCCCGCCAGCTTCACGAATAAGCTTCTCATGCTCCGGACGGCTGATGGCGCGCTCCGGGACGGGTTCTCTCCTGTCGGTGAATTTGCCAGTCTGGCGTAGGAGCTTGAGAAGAGGTAGCACACGGTCGTCAATGTCTTTGACGTCAACCTTTCCGTCCTCAATGAGCTTGTGTACCACAGCAGGTTGTCTCCGGTGCGGTGGTCCCGGCATTTCAAGATCGAGACTTGAGCATGTTAGTCGGGAGTGATGTAGGTTTCGCAAGTCGCTACTCACCCATTTCGAATACCATTCGCTATAGCAGCCGAAGCGGCACCCCAGTCGGTCATTACCAGCCCTTTGAATTTCCACTCATCGCGGAGGATGTCTTTCAGAAACGTGGTCTGGTCGTCGACGTAGGCACCGTTGACTTTGGGGTAGCTCGTCATGATACACCATGGATCAGCCTTTTTGACAACGATCTCGAAGGGGCGGAGATAAATCTCTCTAGTCTCAAGATTAGCCGTGACGGTTCCACCGAGGCAAGAGAAAAGATATTTCACCTCATCGCTCGCTCTGATACCGTCTCGTTGACGGTGAATCGCCGAGTGTCTTGCTCATTGATGGCGAAGTGCTTCACAGTCGCCGCAACACGCTGGCTTTGCAGTCCCACAACATACTCAGAGGCGAGTTCTCCAGTGAGAAAGGGATCCTCGGAAAACGATTCGAAATTGCGACCCCCTAAAGGTGACCGATGAGGGCAGACTGTCGGGCCAAGAAGGACATATGCGCCTTTGGTTTGGGTTTCCTCTCCGAGGGCGACGCCGATCTGCCTAGCAAGGCTACGGTTGAACGTAGCTGCCAAGGAGACACAAGCTGGGAAGCATGCTGCGGTGGTACCGTCCGTGAATTGGGCTCCTCTTGCGCCATTTGGGCCATCTGAAACCTGGTGAAAATTAGTGCCAGGAAACTGACAGTGCTGGTGGAATGCAACTTTGGATGATTACCTTAAGTGAAGGAACATGAAGACGCTCAATTTCAGGAGTCTCCCAAGTGCTTTTTCCTGAAAGAAGTAACACTTTCTCCGCTGTTGTGAGTTGGGACAGAAGAGCTAGGAGCTCATTGTCGGAAGGTGCAGCAGTCATGATAGTGAATGTAAATCAAAAACGATAATGACGGGTGAGGGAGGGGTCAGTGCATCGTCCTAGCCTCAAGATATTAAGTGGATGGCTCCCATATGTTCCTAATATTGCGGAACTCGGACGAGACAGTGGTTAAGATTGCCATTCGAAGGGTAAATCTTCGGCTCATCTACGGGCTTATGACGCCGAATTCATGCAAGTGGTCACAAAATCGAGTTCTATGCCTGTCATGCGGGGTCGGATTCTCCAATCGGGCAGTGGAGTCGGCGTAATCCTCCGCTGCAGAACGCACACTATCATGCTCTAGGCTAGTCGCCGAGCTGCCCAGACAATTGAAGTGTTGGAAGGATGAGACCACAAACCATACGATTGGAGTTCTTGAGCCGAGGCTCTGCCGGAGTGGCTATGGCGATCCCATTCACGCCAGTTCGTGATCACGCTGAGACCCAAACGCGGCCATGGCCCGGTGGTGGGAGCATGGCCGGAAAACCGGATCCGCGTTTTCGGGGTTAAGGCGGTACGCCCTTCCCCATGGGGTTTCAAGATGGCTTGGTGCAATGACTCGATCCTGGTAAATGGGAACGCCAAGAACTTCAACATGTCCATTATTGAGAACTATTGCAAGTTCAGACTACGGGACGGAAAATCATATCCCAAGATACGGGCATAGAAATGGAATCCGAAGTGACTAACGGGTTTACTTCGGCAGGAAGCTGATCGAGAAATAACTATAGGAGTGATGCTGAAAAGTAGGGCTTTGGCCGCTTTGTGTAAGAGAAAGTACCTTACATGTAAGGATCTATGCTGCCATCCAGCTGTTGTGTTTGGACAGCTCAAAATCAACGAGCACTTTCAGCTTCCATTGTTGTACCAAGACAGTTTCTCACCTCGAATACACATCACATACAATATGTCAGAGGAGAAGGAGACGACCGCGACCCATGTCGAAGACGGGGCTGCAAATGAGCCTGCCGTTCTTGCAACTTCGTCACTGGCGGCTCGCTTCGAGCACCGGCAACATACGCTGACGAGGACGGAATCTATCAAAGAAAACGTGTGGCCCCTGGTGTGGTGTCAGTTCCCGTGTGGAAGAGCTTCTGAAGCAACACTCTTATACTGACTGAACAGGTCTTTACATGTTCTTTCTTTGCATCACATGGGGCTTCGACGGTCTAGCAGGCGGCATTGTGGTGTCGATTACCGAGTTCCGCAGAGACTTTGGCACGCCATACGGGGATGATTACGTTGTCAGCGCTACCTGGCAACTTGGCTTCCAAGCAGCCACTATCTTTGGTGAGGCCCAGTGCCCTTCTAGATATTGCCGAACTCGAACTTACAACATGTGTTTTAAAGCCATGACACTTGGTGCATTCGTGGCTGGTTTTGCTATCAATCGCTACGGCCGCCAACCTGTTGTTCTTGCAGCATTTGTTCTCTCAATTGCCGGAACCTTTCTACAGTTCTTCAGCAAGAACCTTGCCGAATTTGTGGGAGGAAAGATCTTGACCGGTCTTGTATGTGTATTCGCGTTACTCGAATTCGCGTTACTCGAATTCAGAAAGCTGACCTTACTGCCTGTGTAGCCTTTGGGAGTTTTCACGACAGCAGCTCCACCATATGCCTCTGAAATGGCACCCCTCACCATTCGTGGATCAGTTGCTGCGGGTATGAACTTCTCCATCGTTCTTGGTCAACTCATTGGCTACGGTGTCATGCGGGAAGCAAGTCATTATGGTGACGCACGAGCATACAAAGTGCTATTTGCAACACAATGGGGGTTTGCAGCGGTGGCTCTTGTCTTCCTTCCATTCTTCCCGGAGTCTCCCTACTGGCTAGTTGCACACGGCCGAGCTGAAAAGGCGAGGAAGAATTTGGAACGACTCCACGATTCTACATACGATTATGATGGACATATGGCCGAGATCCACGAGTCTCTCGCTCGACAAAACCAAGACAATGACTCTCAGGGGTCATATTTGGAATGCTTTTCAAAGGCTGCGCGAAAACGAACCTTGGTCGCAATTGGCATGTTCTTCATTCAAAATGCCAGCGGCCCTGGATGGGTCGTGGGTTACATGAGTTGTAAGTTGTGGATGTCTCTCATGAGAAGACTCTTCTGACTTGTTTCTGTGTACAGACTACTTCCAATTAGCTGGTATGGCACCAGCTGCATCCTTCGACACTACGGTTGGCTTAGCCGGGCTGATGGCAATCGGTAACATTGTCGGATGGTTCTTTGTGGACTATTTCGGTCGCCGAGGAACAGCTCTCTATGGATCCATCATCCTCACCATTACGCTATTTCTTATCGGTGCATCCTCGCTGGTTAAGACGCAAGGAGCAGTCTGGGCACAGGTTGTGTTCATGGCCATTTGGTCTTTCTGTGAGTGATTCCGTCAGATGGAATCAGCGAGTATGCAATCACAGTTCACTGACCAAAGTCAAGCCTATCAAGGGACCCTCGGCGCTGTCGCATGGCCCATCGCTACCGAGGCAGCAACTAGCCGACTGAGAGCTCCAACTCAAGCCCTTGCAATCACTGCCAATGGGTTGTCAAGCTCAATCTGGACGTTGAGTCTGCCCTATGCCATTAATCCCGATCAAGGTAATATCTTTTCCTTGTCCTCGACGATGAGCATTCGGATTAAAGTGAAACAGGTAACCTCGGTGGAAAGGTGGCGTTCATCTTCGGAGCCACTCTAGCCGTATGCTGCGTCTTCATTTTCTTCATGGTTCCTGAGACCAAAGACCGCACTTACATCGAGATCGACGAGCTCTGGACGCGGAAGGTTCCTCCACGAAAATTCAAGAGTACCAACCTTGTCACGCTTCCAAATGACAAATAGTTGTCAAATTTGGATGACGTTACAAACTTCTGCAAAGCTGGAATCTAAGAAGTTACTTCTTTGACTGCACTTTGAGCTACCAAGGCATTGAAGATATCACATGCCCAACACGTGGGGAATTCCATTTGACCACACCCTTGGCCCAGACTTTATGTGTGACAAAGAGAGAATGGACAATATCGACTTCATGTATCAATTGGCCCATCTGGTCCCATAAGCTTGACCTCGCGAAGCTTCATGAACTCCACGTCATTGCATCCTATTGAGAAGCCAATGATATCATGACAGCTCAGATTCCCGTCGTCGTTCTTCAAGGTTTTGTCTACCCATGATTGTCAATCAGTCTTCGGGTCAAAAGTATGGTAACATCAAACGACCTACTCAGATTTACAGTCGGCTCTGACCACTGCTTTGGGTATTCTCCGTGGTGACACAAGCATGTCAATGCCGTCGTCAAGTCATTATACTCGCATCTCTGGCAGCTTTTGTGGAAGGCACCACTTGAGACACGAGACCGTTAGCTTGAACTCGAGTTGGGACACCCTCTTCATATGTAATCTTTGCCTTCGGAAAGACGGCCTTGCGACGAACGGACCCGGCAGATGGATGAAATGGCTTGAACTTACTGACTTCGAGCCACAAGTTGGCCACCAATGTTGGAATAGCACATCGTCAATGGCAGCCATGTGCAATAGTCATCGCCGTCACTGCTTGTGCACCTGGCGACCAAATATGGCGAGGTCTTGTATTTGTTTCCCCAGATAGAGTCCGGGTCCCAGAAACGAATCTCAGGGCAGGTGTCGATGAAGCCCCCGAGTGCGTACACTGTCTGCATCATGCAAATAAGAGAACAGAGACAGGTACTCAGCACAATGGTCCAGCTACCCATTCCAAGGCACTGATTCGATGCAAAGAGGGCCGAGGGGCGGTGTCAAGTCCAAATTGAAATAGCCCTAGGACTGGGCACAGAAACATATAAAAAATCAAAATTTGGAAAGAGGCCACCTGAGAGATCTTACATGATATAGCAGTCGGTGCAGCTCCCACCTCGTCGACAGTCTCGTGCGACATGAAATGGTTACAAACCGTCCAACTGCAAAGATGCAAACGGATGCTGCAGCATTGTATGTGGCAAGCCCTGGTATTCCCTAATCCCCTTTGGTGTCACCCGAACCCCTTTTACGGTTTCTTACGCCATCTCATTGCGTAACTCTTTTCCTTTCCGAGTTTCTGTTTGCAGAATACTAATGCAACGGATGCTCAACAATGATGGCACCTCTGCCCGAGCTGTCTAAGTGGGTGACAGACAGGCGGGATAAGATCTGGCACGTGCTAAAAATTGGTCGAGGTTTTGATTCCTCCTGTGTTTAAATTGGTCATCCTTAGAGCATGTAACTTGACTGCTATATTCCAACCTCCTTGAGGTGCAGTTATGGCAACTGAGGCTCATTCACCATAATTCGTCATCAGTTAAGAACCTAAGTGCGCTTACAACACAAGCCCGCAGTTCTCTGCCCACGAAACCTTGATTTCATGTTGAGGATTATAAATTCAGATTGTTCGCAAAAGTTGATCCGCGTCGGTAGCCTGCCTTGGGGAAAACGGGAAGAAAAGAAAAAGCAAAGAACACCCTTTGACTTCCTGATTGGTCCTGCCTGCAGCTTATGTCCAAGGATCAGTTGGAGGTTTAGCAGCCAATGATCCCCAGCACAGCCTGCTTCTGCCTTGCCGCTGAGGTGGTTCCTTGCTGGACCAATCATGACGCCTTGTTGGAAAGAGGTCTGACGGGGGAAACTGTCGTCGCCTGCTGCGCTTCTCCCTCCTCATTTCTTCATTTTTCCCTCGGCGGCAGGCAACGCGAGTCGCCACATAGGATGCACCGAACTTCCGAATTCGCACTCGCCCGCGCCTCTGAACTTGAGCTTTGTTGAACTTGGTTAAGAAGTCGACTTTTTTTGCGGTCGAGTTACCGATGCTTCCTAAGCGATCTCCGACATGACTAGCAGGCGATCCCCTCCTGAGGATTTCTCTCGCGACCCCAAGCGGCAAAGGACATTCCATTATGCCCCCGGCACCAGTCACGAACTGCCATGCAATGCGTCACCCAAACCCCACGAGAAGTACACGGTCGCCTGGATCTGTGCGCTTCACATCGAGATGACAGCTGCTGAGGCCATGCTTGATGAGCTCCACGATACCCTCCCCACACACGTTGACGACAATAATACATACACCCTCGGACGCATCCACAAGCACAATGTGGTCATTTCATGTCTTCCAACGGGTTATTATGGAACAATAAATGCCGCAACCGTAATATCGAACCTCAAGCGGTCCTTTCCATCAATTCGGGCTGGCTTGATGGTTGGTATTGGCGGCGGAGTGCCCAGCAAGGCGGATTTGCGCCTCGGTGATGTTGTTGTCGGAACCAGGGTGATGCAATGCGACATGGGGAAGATAGTCGAGAACGGACAACTTCAGCGCACGGCAATTGCCAGGATTCCACATCAGCTCCTTTGTACCGCCGTTTCCGCATTACGCGCAAAACAGGAGCGTGATGGTACCTCCATCACGTCGATTGTAGCGCAGAAATTTGTTGGACACTCTGGGTATCATCGCCCCGATTTGTCAGATGATCTGTTTCCTCCAACGTACGATCATGAGTCTTCGAACATATTCTGCAATCAATGCGATCACACAAAGCTGGTGCCGCGAAGACAAAGAAGCGATCCAAACATCCACTATGGCGCTATTGCTTCCGGGAATCAAGTTATGAGGAGCGCTTTTCAACGCGATATCATCGGCCAAGAACTTGATGTTATCTGTTTCGAAATGGAGGCTGCTGGCTTGATGGATATTCTTCCCTGCTTGCCAATTCGGGGAATCTGCGATTACTCTGACTCACACAAGAACAAGTCGTGGCAGAGGTATGCCGCTGCTACAGCAGCAGCGTTTGCAACCGAACTTCTTGCGGTGCTTCCCTCAAGCGAAGCTCGTGAAAGGTTAGAACTTCCATCTCGTACTGGTAAGAACAACGGATTCAATACTCGCGAACGGCACGCTAGAATGACGCGAAGAATTAGGACCACCGGACGATTATTGCCAACAACTACTCGAGTTACTCAATTTCGACCAGAAGGACTCTCGCCAGTCTTCCATCAAAACTGCCCACGCAAAGACGTGCCGATGGCTTTTGACACACGCCGACTATGAAGCTTGGTTAGATCCCAAGAGGCTTATACAGCATCATGGTTTTCTCTGGATTCGCGGCAAGCCCGGCGCCGGCAAGTCGACACTTATGAAGTTTGCGTACGGAAACATGCGCAAAGCCCGTCGTAGGCATGGAACGACTGCAGCCTTCTTCTTCAACGCTAGAGGAGACTATATGGAAAGATCTGTTCCAGGAATGTACCGCTCATTACTTTTGCAACTACTCCAAGGTGTTCCAGAAGTTCAATCAGTTGTGGACAATCCCGATTTCGAGTACGAGGATCTGAACGAGTGCCTTCAATTAGACCACCTCAAGGAACTTTTCTGGAGTGCTGTTTTGGCGCTTGGACAGCAGCATTCTTTCACCTGTTTCATTGACGCGCTTGACGAATGCGACGAACAACAAGTGATGGACATGGTTCGATTCTTTGAAGACCTTGCAATACAAACAACGGAGAAAAATGTCAAATTCAGGATTTGCTTTTCAAGCAGACACTATCCGTACATCTTTGTACCGGAGAGCATCGATCTTGTACTCGAACACCAGCCGGGCCATACGGAAGATCTGGCCACGTTTGTAGACAGCCGTCTCAGAATCCGAGACTCTGCCCTCCGTTCGCAGCTACAGCCAGACATCCTCCAGAAGGCCTCAGGCGTTTTCCTATGGGTTTCGCTTGTAGTCGACATTCTCAATGACCAGTATGCCCGAGGCGGTATGGATTTGAGAAAACGACTTAAAGAGATACCAGACGATCTCCATGCGCTTTTTAAGGACATGCTGCGCCGCGATGAACACAACAAAGAAAGCCTTCTCTTGTGTATTCTGTGGATACTATGCGCCAAGAGACCATTGGATCCATCGGAGTTCAGTCACGCACTCTGGTCTGGCCTCCTGATGAATGGACAGGCAGACGAAGAGCCTCCGAATCTGACTAGGGCGGACGGCTCGAGTGCGGCGGATCGATTCGTGATTGGGTCTTCCAAAGGGTTAGCAGAGGTGACCAAGGCCAGACAGCCCAGAGTTCAGTTCATTCATGAGTCCGTGCGAGACTTTCTGCTCAAATCTGGTGGTCTAAGAGAACTATGGCCTGACCTCGGATATGACTGGCAGATTCAAGCTCATGAGAGATTGAAAGAATGCTGCTCTTACTATTTGGAATATAATCCGGTGCAGACATTTGTGAGCCAGCTACTAGATGACCCCAAGGTGGTATCGAAGGACAACGCGCGACAACAATATCCTTTCTTAGATTACGCAAGCCAGCATATTCTTGACCACGCTGACGTTGCTGAGGAAGCAATATCATAACAAGAATTTCTCTCTCGATTCCCCATCCAGCCATGGATTGCTATCTCAAATTTTTTTCAGAAGCACAACACCCGCCGATACAGGGCGACCGCCAATTTTCTCTACATCCTTGCAGACAAAGGCTTCCCGAACCTCATTCTGCGATGGCTGGAAGACAATCCTCAAACAGACATATTTGATGAGAAGGAAAGGTTCCGATACCCATTGTTTGCGGCTTTGGCAAATGGCAATAAGTCCTCGGTCGCTGCACTTCTCGGCATCTCCACAATAATACAAGATGGTGTTGATATCACGGCTGGGCTCAGCCATATCAAAGATTTAACGAATTTTATCGGACGAACACCTCTCTCTTGGGCTTGCCAAGAGGGGCGGAGGGGTATTGCCAGTTTTCTTCTTCAGAACGGGGCATCAGCTTCTGGAAAAGACCCGGAAGGCCGCACAGCTTTATCAAGAGCCTCGGAGAGTGACCAAGATGCAGTTATTGAAATGTTGATTGAGTATGGCGCAGACGTCAACAGTACGGAAAGGGTAGGAGGCCAGTTCTACGTCCCCATTTTGTTGGCCTCCAAAGAGGCAACGATCCAGCGGCTTCTAGAGCAAGGCGCAGATCCCAACACGCGAACCATGAACTGTAGTACGATTATCCATCACATGGCTCGCAGGGGAAATGATACTGGAATACGCGCTGTCATCAGCCAAGTCAAAGGAATGATAGACGATGTCAATGCCACAAACAACGACGGGAGCACCCCACTGATTGAGGCCACTACAGGAGGCCATGAGGCAGTTGCGAAGCTTCTCATCCAACTTGGCGCAGACGTCAACATTGGCAGAACCACGGTGGGCCACACCGCTCTGATTGAAGCGATTACTTACAATAACCTGAAACTGGTCGAGCTGTACATCCGACACGATGCAGATCTCAGTGCTCGATGTCCAGATGGACATGCTCCAATTCTTAGAGCGTTCATGCTCAAGCGCTGGGAAGTGATTGAACTTCTTTTTAATGCAGGTGTGGATCTTTTGGCTGCAATTTCAGGTGATCCAGAAGTATGGGAAGTTCATCAGGACGATATTCTCATGTGGGCTTCACAGTTCGGCCACGCGTCGATCGTAGAGTTTCTCTTTAGGGGATATTCTAAATGCCACATCAGTTCTGAGACCAAAGATGCCGCACTCAAGATAGCCCTTTCCCAAGATTTTATAATTGTAGTCGGTGTTCTGAGAGTGTTTGGCGCTGTCGAGGATCGCAGCTAGAACAGCGGGCCAGAAATTGAGAGGTGATTGCATTCAATAGTAAGGCATAAACCGGAAAAAGCCAAGTCATAAACCAGCTAGCTTTTTTTCCGAAACTGTGAATACATCTTCCAAAATCAGAAATCAGCATTGCTATCTTAAATAGGGCAGGAATATGGAGGCTTTAGCAAGGAGTAAGATTTTCAATCAAAACTCTGTGCCTCCATCGCCGTTGTGAAATGCCTATCAAAGTAGGAAATCTCATGCCTATAATGAGACTTGGCGTCTCAAAACATGAAGGCGCATCATGTTAGGCAAACCCTCAAGCATCTTTATGAACAAGATTTTGTGGAATGTCATTAACATCAGCTTCACAGTTGCATTATCTCATACATCAGTGCGAGGCCTGTAATTCATCTGTTCGCCAGTTCCATGCAGTAGGTTTGGGCTTTATTCAATCTAACGCCTCTCGCCGACGTAGTCACCCTTCTTACTCCCTCAGCTTGACCTTCATCTTCATGTCATGCCTTGGCCTGGCCTCCATGCCAACCATTTGGAAGGCCAAGTCACCAACCTTTTTATCTAGATCCATATACATAACTCTCTCGGAAGTGCCGTTCACGAGAGTTTCAAAGTCGAACCAACGGACAGTCAAAAGAAGCATAATGCGCAGTTCGTCCATCGCCAGATCCTGTGCGATACACGCACGCGGGCCACGTTCGAAAGGCCTCCATGCAAAGCGATGCATGTCCTTCGCGTCCTCGCCGAGGAATCGGTCGGGGTTGAAGCTCTTGGAGTCCTCGCCCCACACCTTGGGGTCCATGTGGGTAGAGTGAGCGCAGGGGATGACCATGAAATTCTTGACGGGCCAGCGGCGGCCGTTCCAGTCAAGGTGGGTGACGCCCTTGGGTGCTTGGCGAATAGTGAAGCCAATAGGGAAGAAACGGAGGGTTTCCTTGATGACAGCGTTCGTGAACTCCATATCGTTGGTCTTGGTCGGGTTGGCGACGAGCATCTCGACGGTCTTGTCCAAATCGGGATCGAAGTGCTCGTTGTGCTCATTGCGAAGGCGCTCGACGACGTCAGGGTAGATGGAGAGGAACATGGTAACCCAGGTGAAAGTGTCGGTTGTGGTGCCGTGACCGCCGAGGAGCAAGGCCTTGAGGCTGCATGGTGTCAGTATCAATCTCCATTCCATGAAGTTGCATATGAATATGGAGCTAAACAAGTGAAAACGTACTTGGTAACAGCGGTATCAATGAAGGGGTCGTCAAGAGTAGCACCGGGGCCGCTCTGAATTCTGTCGAGCACGATGCGGTCCAGGACGGACTTGACCTGTCGTCTGCTGGGCAATTCCTTCTCATCTTGCAAAATTCTGAGACGCTCGTGCATCTCATCGGCAAGAACCTTCCTGACGCGGTCCTTGAGCTTTTGCAGGCCCTGTTCGGCCTTGCGCTTCTTCCATGGGTTCTTTGTGCTGATAAAGGTTGTCGCGGGGTTGATGGATGCTCTCAGATCCTCCAGAAGTGGAGATCCGGTACGTTGCGCCTCCAGAGAGAACCCGAAAACAACCTTTCCAATGACGTCGAAAATGGTCTTAGCCGCTTCCTCTTCCATGTTGAAAGACTCGTCCTTCTCGGCGAATGCGCGAAGGCGCTCGTGGAAGATCAGGACCTGCTCGGCGATCATGCCGGCCATCGGCTTCACGTAGGTCGGGGTAAAGCCGGAGCCGACCATGCGGTGGTTGTACTTCCACCTCTCGCCGTTGGAGGCGGCAATACTGTCGACGCCGGTGAAGGGGCGAAGGAACTTCTCAATTGACGGGTGCTTGGGGTACGGAGTGGTCGTCAGGACGAGCTGCGCGGCATCGGGATCGGTGATGACGACTTGCGAGTCGAAGAAGGGCCACATGTCGATGTAGAAGATGCCGCCCAGGTTGTATTTTTGCGCCATGTAGGTGTAGACATGTTGAGGATGTGTGAACAGAGGCAGCCTGACGTTTCTTAGCAATTGCAATGTGCGATAGAGGTGACAGTACTCACTTTCCAGCTACCTCCTCCCAGATGGGTGTGTGCGCCCAGATCCATGAGTGCTTCGGTGGTTGAGGCTTGAGGGAGAACGTGAGTTAGAGCCTGAAGATGACAAAACACCATAGTCAGTGACCGAGCACTTACGAGACCTCGGAACCTAAGGCGCATGTAGCAAGCCTTGAAGATCCAGTAGACGGCCGTGGCCAGAGCCACTGTGGCCGCGATGAGCCAGTTCGACACGCCAAACATGGTGATTCAGTTGCCTACGCAGTCCGACCGTACTGAGCTACGACAAAGGAAAGGAGCAGAAAATGGAAAATTTCCGCCCTCAAGCAGAAGAAAACGACATGGTGCCAGAAAAGCATGGCGGGGTATTAGGGTAAGCAGAGGCACTGGATCGATCTACACACCTTCCCAAAACCAAAAGCTACGTAATGTCGCAATCGGCGTGAAGCGTGGGCGTGAGAAAAATACCTCTCAATTTTTTAGCCCTCCAGCCAGACAGGGTGGTATGTAAAGTTTTTCCAATGAAGAACGCGGTTTAAGTGACAAGCGGGACATGGATGCGATCAAAGTCCCTCCGGCGAGCGCCATGCTAGCTGGGATCTTGGGGTGTGTGTAAGACGCTATGAACAGAACGGTGGGGTCTTGAGGGATCAGATTAGATGGGATTAGATGATCAGATAAGATGATTCTTGAGATCAGCGACCTCGGATTGGACGGAGTGATCCAGGGGGGGCGTGGGAGATGAGTAACGGCATGTTCCAGTTCCCGGATTCATCCTGATGAAAGGGGTGGTCAGAAGCGCGCCAGCCCCTCCGGACGCGGCGTAGTGCAGCGCCGCCGGCGACAATGCGCCTCTTGAAGACGTCTTTAACGGTCCGGTCCGCCCACCGGTACTTGAAGTTCCCCGCCAAAGTGGGATGTCCCGGTTCTGAAGAGTTTTCTTCCTTCCTCGTCATTCGCACTTTTTTGGTGCTAACCATGGCGTTTGGGGTGCGGGGAGTTAGGACGGAATGTGGGTGGATGCTTGTCGGCCTGTGACCGAGGGGCGAGTGCGAGAAGACGGCATCATCATCCGGAAGCTCGTGAGGGGTTACAATGATTTATTCAAGAAGTGCGCTGTAGAACGCACCTGTTTCAAGCAACTCAAAATGTCCGCGGAACTTTGGCTTTTCGCATGGTGCAGTGGTGCTTGACGGCATCCTCCGCTTCCTGAAGATGCGAAGCCGGAGCTTGTCTGCCCACTACACGGTCAGACGGGGGTGGATCGTGTCCTCGAAGTCGGGCATTTGGCGATCCCAATTCCACTTCACGGTCCACCTATCAGACCAGCTGCAATGCAGTACGTACGTAGCGTTGTAGTCAACAGGTTCGTGGGAGGCCCAACTGATGGGACCTCGGCGGTAGAGACTTCTTCGACCAGCAGCGCCTAGCAGCAGTGGACAGAGAAGAATACGAACAAGTCGCGGGGATTGTCGGCGATCGTTCGACCGAATATTGGAAACCGTCAACCTCTGGCGACATCCGTCGGCCAAACATACCTATTCGGATAAGTGGTGAAGGCAGAAGGATCGGAGTGCAGTCCACCATCAGATGAACCCCTGTTTCTTCAGTACGAACCAAGCTTTTCTGACCACAGTCGACAGCTTGGCGGCAGGATTGGCAGCTCCAACGTCGGTACCGATCGGCTTAAGCTTATTACTGTGTGGCGACGCCTCCAACACGCAAAATATGTAGCAAATTCACGGGAGAAATCTGGCGACTGAGTTTATTCCTAGGGTGCTCTATGAGCGGCGAATGAATATACGTGAAGAAGGTGCGACAGGCATATTATGACAGCGCAAAAACAGCAAAAAGAAGGGCACCACGAATCCTTTTCTCTTCCCAACTTTTCAGTCATGCTTCCGCATAGCATTTTTCCGCCTGTGGGCACACATTATTAACTACTGTAGAGAAACCCTTGTAGCCTTTGGAGTACACAGCAACTATTCAAGCGTATCCGCAGGCGATACCCTGCTGTGCGAGAGCAGAGACCGAAAGTAAGAAGGCAAAAAGGATACACCGTTGTTCCGAAACCGAGAATCGAACTCGGGGCTATGCCTAACCTCGCAAGTCAATGAGAGGGCATCATGTTGGCCACTACACCATATCGGATTGAATTGTGGAAATACGCCACAGATTCCTGGAAGAGTACCCATTGTGCGCTTGCAGTGGATACCAGATTCCGGGCTGGCCCTTGGCGGCCAAGTGGAAACGGGACGGAGGTGACCCAAGACGGCGGCCTCGACGGTTTGGGTGGCCGCTGACAAAGTGATTGGCTCCGTGCCGGTGGGATGCTGCATCTTCTCAAATTTTAGCTCGTAAGAATGGATGCAATATGCAGCCGGCCTGTTGAAGGCTGAGAATGCAGCATGCAGTCCAGCTGGCGAGTGTCGATCACCGATCGTAACTGCAGAAAGTCGGTCGGACTACGGACTCCGGCTGACAAAAGTCGGCGACTCGGCGTGCCGCTGTGGATCTTTTACGAGTTTTGCATTTGCGTTCACCGATGCGGGACTGCCAAGTCGTAAGAATAGGGAGAAGCCGGAGGTGCACGTGTATCTCCGGTGGTGAAAGCTGGAAACCGTTGTCGCGAGTTTGCTATCCTCAATTTCAATCAGCCGAAGTCTTTAATATCGCAATCAGTGTACTCAAACTGGTCACAGAGTCTTGTGTTCAAATACACATGTGCTCATCTGCGCATCAAGGCACTGTTTGCAGCGTCAAGTGAAATCAGTCGTCTGGTAGTTTCAACACCCTAAAGTGGGCGAAGTAGCAACTCATGTCACCTGCAAAGACTGGAAGGAAATCAGTATTGTTCATTTACAAATGGTTTTGTAAGACTTTCGTCTGTATATGTACATGTTCGATATAAGTAGGTACAGAAACAAAGAGCCTTCGTTGTTTATCTTTGGCCAAGGATTCGATTGGCCAGTGACAGTCCAAAATATAAACAGTTCTGTTGTGAGGGTATCCAATGCCTTATACGCTGGAAATGCAGAATGAAACAAGTGGCTCAAAGTACAGATAACAGATGCTGATAGACGACAAGTGACCTATGACTTCTTTGCCACCGCGGACCGACGGACAGGAGCAGGGGGCTCCTCTGTCTCGTCGACTGTCAGTTGCAGTGCGAGGGAATCCGCGCCATTGTAGGAGCCCTTCTGCTTCCAGAAGTATTCTGCCCCGGCCTTCGTCTTAGCCCGAAACGTCGCCACGACGTCAACGTTCATCTTGAAGTTGGTATAAAAGGACGTGCCGACGCAGTATTTGCCACCGGGGCACTTGAGATGAACAGTGGATGATTTGGTAATGGTTTCGGATTCCAGGTCCTCTTCGCTCTACAGCGCAACATCTCGTTAGATGACTTGGCTGCTAAGTTTAGGAATGAGAAGACTTACGCTGGTACCGCCAACTTGCCAGTTGAACTCGGTGGAAACCTTAGACTTTCCGATGAAAGGAATTCCAGCCTCGGCCTCGAGGCCAACCTTGCCGCCTACGTACCATGTCTTGCCGACATTGACGGAGTGAGACTTGGTGACAGCATCGGTTGTCATAAGGGTAGTCCACTGCTCAGTGCTCGAGTTGCGCGCATCGAGAATCTGCGAGCCGACGGAAATTGTCTCTCCTTTTCCGGCCGGCATAATATTATTCGTGAACCCGTTGAACTCGATCTTGCTGATGGAAACGGATTCGATGTCGTTGATGAAATCGACGCCCAAGCGGCCCACCATGCCGTTTTCACAGTAGTAGACGCGGATGCGGGCGAGGATCCCGGAGCCGACGGGGACATTCAGCCACGGCGGGTACATGCTGGGGTCGGAGGCTGCGTAGTTCGTGTCGTACTGGGTCCTGCCAGTGTCCGTAACGATCTTGAAGCCGGCATAGAGGCCTTCACCTCTGTCTTGGAAGGCAAACTCTGTGACGCGCTCATTATTCCCGAAGACGACAGCATCCTTGCCGCGGAAGGCCCTCCAGTGATCGCTGGTGTCAGTGCCAGACTAAAATAACTCGGTCAGTTTTCGTCAATTTCTAGGTTAAATCCTTTGCAGTCATTGGTGAGTAGACTTACGTTGTGAAGTAAAGTGCGGTTTCCGCCTGCGGAAGTCAAGTTCATGACCCGAGCACCCTCAAACCCTGTCTGATACGACTGGATGCTCCCAAAAGGGCCCTCAATCGTGACGAGTTCGCATGTAGAGTTCGTTAAGGTGATGTCGCCATAGTCGCCGGATGAAAAGGCGTCTGTCGTGTCGGTGACGAATCTATTTGGAATAGGGTCGTCTTGTCTCTTGAGGTTTGATAGAGTGAGTGGTGTGGAGAGAGCGACGGCCGGCAGGAGGGCCAACCCGGAGAGCAAGCGTGTTAGGTAGATCGTGGAAACCATGGTATAAAGCTGAAAAGACTGACGAAACAAAACGCAAACAGGCTATCTCAAAGAGAATGGCTGGCTGGAACAAGTGAGTGTGGTGATATGCAAATTCGGTACAAGCGCTGGTGATGTTCTCTTCCAACAGATCTTATATGTAGATGCGATCACGACTTACAGGACGGATATCAAGTGATTCAGCTTCCACCTTCCTTAGTTGAGATAAGTAAATTACCTACATGCCAAGCCAGTCTCTGATAAATACATTCGACCGCGTGGTTCATGCTGCGGTCCCCCGTTGGTCCATTCGCTAGGAGGCCGTGGAGAACAGATGAACGGCTCGCAGGGATAGGGTAATCTGTAGTTGGATAAGCCAATCTCTACCCCATACGAGGCTGGATAGGCTGCTACCCACAGTTCGCTCATATTCAAGGTTCTGATGAAGAGTTGTGGCGCTCAAAAGGGGCGCTGAAGCTCCCATTGGTCAACTGCCGCGGATGTGCGACAGGCGAGCCTATCATCGAAGTGACTTTCCACACGGCGATTGCCCGAATTCGCCGTTCTCCTTACCAGCTCAAGCCAGGATAGTTGCTTTACTCGCTCCAATATAGACTCCCTAAACAGGGCATTTGAGTACCGACTCGTGACCTTGCAGCTAGGCACCTCCTTGAGAGGCAGAGAGGCAACCATTGCCTGCAAGGGTGATCCAGTGATAGTGGCTGTCATAGTGACCACAAGATGGCCAAAGCAGTGTTTATCATGAGCTTGAAATATCCCGAGGAATTGAAACGTTACAAGCTCGACCAGAGACATTTGCCGCTGATCTATCTCCTCATCTTGA